TGTGGGGGAGAGGAGGCATTCTGTGAGGGTAGAGGGGCCATTCCTGAGGGGGCACTGCCTGAGGGGGTGGAGGGGGGAATGGGGCACTGCCTGAGGGGGCCTTGCCTGAGATGGGGGTGTTGATGGAAGAGTGAGTGCGGAGGAGATGGGGTCAGAGGGTTAGCCCCTGACCTGTGAGAAAACGGTCACTGACCCTGAGTTGGTCAACCCGCTGGTAGTGAGGGAGGGGTTTGGATGCTATTCAACATCAAATCTATTCCATCCTTAACGTACCCAACGCCCATAGCCCCCATCTCCCATCCCCGCCCCCCACCACCTCACTCAGTCTAACTGTACCAGTCTATCTCGGGTTTGATGCTATCTCTCAGTTTCTCATTGACTTGAGAATTGCCCTCCCATAGCAAAGTGGCTGGTGAGATTCAGGACTGAAGGCCAACGCCGGGGAAATCGCTAAATCCCATGGTCGTGGCATTATTGCTAGACAATTAATCCAGAGACCCAGATATTTTTCCAGGGACCTGGGTTCAAATCCTGCCAGGGCAGCTGGTGGAATCTGAATGCAGTAAAACTCTGGAGACGATGGTCAGTTGGTGTAAAACTGATGATGGCCTTACCCCATCTGGCCTATATGTGACTCCGGTCCTATAATGTCTTTGACTCTTAACTGCTTGGGATGGGCAAGTAAAGCCCACTTCCTGTGAACAAAAAAATATTGAACTATGTTCTGAGACTCGCTTTCCATCCCATATTTATTAATTGAATTTAAATTCCATTAGATGCTGTTAAACCTATGCCCTCCCCCCAGTAATCCAGGGGTATTGCCAAGGCAGCACCAGAGCCTGGCACTAGGCTCACCACCACGTTCTCCAGTAGTGGCCTTGCCAACTATACCCGTGCCCCATGAATGGATTTTGTTTTGTTTTTTTTTAAAAAGCGGCTGCAGGTTACTTTTTTGATGCCGAGCCTCTGTGCTGTGTTGCCTTTCTAGACTCGCAGACTCCAGGGAATGCCGAGCAACTGCTCCAGAAGCGGTTCCACTTGCTCGGTTTGAGCACGGAAGCGTTCAACTCTGTCGAGTATGTTGGCACAAGGACAGCGGGCACCCCCACCGACTTCTCTGGCTTCCTGGAGGTGGTACGTCAACGGGCCAACAGTACGTTGACCCGCTCTCGGAGATCACCAGCCATTGTCTACAATGTGTTAAAGGTAAACCCTGGGGCGGGCAGACCGATTGGGGTATGTGACTCTGTCTCGCTGTCTGTCTCTCTCTCTCTCTCTCTCTCTCTCTCTGGCAGTCTGTCTCTCTCTCTGTCTTTCTTGGCATGAGCTGCCCTTCACTGTTGGCGCTCTTAGGCATCGGTGTGGCGATGGGCATATCAACCCATCGATCCTTGCCAAGTCTGTGGGGCCTTCTGGATGTCAGCAAGGTTTACAGGGGTGTGCCTCCCCCCTGCACCGGAATGCAAGTCGTTAACCTACAATGGCCACAACCGAAGCCGTGCAAGAGAACGTTCTGGAACCCCACGTTCTTGGCTTGCGGGAGGGTCTTCCACAACCCCCCTTACCCCCCCCCAGACTGCATCCTGTGTTGATGGGAGATGGGGCTTTAGTAAAATCTGGGATTGAAAGCTGGGCTCGGTGAGGGGGTCCATGGAATTTTTTTTTTTAAAAAACAGTTTCATCGGGTTCACTAATGTTCCTGCAGGGAAGGAAATCGGCCATTCTTACCTGGTCTGGCCCCCTACATGTGACTCCAGACCCAGTTGTGGTTGACTCTGAAATTGTCGAGCAAGACACTCCGTTCGAGGGCAATTAGGGATAAGTTACAAATGCTGGTTTTGCCCAGTGACACGAGAATTTAAGAAAAAAAATTGCTCCACCAAACAACTTGCATGAAGTTGATGGGCTGAATGGCCTCTCGTGGGCTGGCTTTGCATGAGAACAGGAATGCTGTCGCTCTCTCGCGCTCGCTCTCTCTTTCACGCTCGCTCTCTCTCTCTCGGGAGGCAGAAACGGAGAGAGAGGGGGATTCCCAGTGCAGTACTGAGGGAGTGCTGCTCGGTCAGCAGTGCTGTCTTTCAGGGGAGTTGTTAAACTAAGGCCCCTCTCTGCCACCCCCCCGGTTTGACGCGAGAGCCGCCACAGCGACCCGTGTCCTGGCCCCAGTATTCGCCGCGCAGCCTGTGTCACTTCCTTTGTTTTTAAAAACAAAAACCCACACCGATCTGTCGGTTACCGACATCTGTTTGTGGGATCTTGCTGTGCAGTTACTGTACTGTGCCTCTTGCATTCGTGGAAACGACAGTACTTCAGTGGCTGCGAAGCTGCGTTTGTGAAGGTTGCTGTAGGAATGCAGGACAACAAGGTGCAGGGCTGGATGAACACAGCAGGCCAAGCAGCATCATAGGAGCAGAGAGGCTGACGTTTCGGGCCTAGACCCTTCATCAGAAAAGGGGGAGGGGAAGGGGGTTTTGAAATAAATAGGGAGAGAGTGGGAGGCGGATAGAAGAGGGATAGAGGAGAGGAAACAAACAGGTCGAAGAGGCGGGGATGGTAGGAATGCAGGTTGTGTCTGATGTTGTTGCTCCTGTTTGACCTCCCCCACCCCACCCCCACCCCCTCAGGCTCTGAGCCTCCGCTTCGACGGTGAGATAACAGACAGCAGGATTGTGATTGACTGCTTTTTTCCTGACGAGTACTTCAGCTGCTCTAGCGTGTGCCTCAGTTGTGGGTGAGTTCTCCCTTCCGCTTATCATTGAGCTCTCTGTTACCGAATATGGGGATTCCCTTATCCAAGCCGTTCAGTCCCCTCGTAACCATAAGACACCGTTCGATCTCCCACCTCGTCTCTTCCAAAGGAAACTGACTATCCCCCACTGTTCGAATTCTTCGCTTCGGCCCCATCCTTTTCCATAAGGGGAAGGTGATGACCCGCTGGTATTAACGCTAGATTAGTCATATCAGCCGTGATCTAATGATGAAGCAAATTCAACGGGCCGAGTGGCCTAATTCAGCTCTGAGATATTACAGTGAACACGTGCCAAATGGCACATCAGAGAGCTGATGTAAACTGGGAGAAACGTCTTCACCTGGAGAGCAGGTGAGTCTGTGGAATTCTCTGCCACAGAACACGGCTGAGGCCAAAACGTTGAATGATTTCAAGAAGGAGTTGGATGTGGTTCATGGGGCAAAAGGGGTCAAGGGGAATGGGCACCAGGGGATGATCAGCCACGATCCTATTGAATGGCATAGCAGGCTGGAGGGGCCGAGCGGCCCACTCCTGTTCCTATATTCTATGATCCGATGTTTCAATACAGAGATTGATCGATTTGTTATTGAGGGATGTGGAACAAAGGTACATTCAATAATCAAGGAACACTGCAGGAGACCATTCAGCCCCTCCGGTCTGTTTATACCATTCAGTTAAAATGAATAACTCAAATCTATTTGCTTGCATCATTTCCAAATGGGCTACGTAGACCATAAGATAGAGGAGCGGAATTAGGCCGTTCGGCCCATCAGGTCATCTCCGCCATTCAATTCTTGGCTGTTACTTTTCCCAACCCGTTCTTTTGCCTTCTCCCCACGACCTTGATCCCCTCATTAATCAAGAACCTATCCACCTCCGTACTAAATATACTCAATGACTTGGCCTCCGCAGCCCACTGGGTCAATGAATCTCACAGATTCCGCACCCTCTGGCTGAAGAAATTCCTCCTCATCTCAGTTCTAAAGGCTCGTCCCTTCGCTGTGCCCTCGGGTCCTGGTCTCTCCTACTCGTGGAAACATCTTCTCCACATCCACTCTATCCAACCCTCTCAGTATCCTGTAAGTTTCAATGAGATTCCAAGCCCACCTTCCGCTCCCGTTCAGTGAGTTTCTCTGTAACTGGGAGAGTGAATGTTGTTATTCCCTGTGTGTTTCTTTTTTTCCTCCCCTGTTTGTTTGAAGGGCTCACTGTACAAACAGCATGAATCATCTGAAGGACAGCGTCCCACATGAGGCAGCTGGGAGATGTCGATACATGCACCAATATAACAACAAGGTGTTAATCTGCAGGGTAGGTGTGGGCTTCCTGCAGAAGCGAGTACAATTTTTGTCATTTTAAGAAATGTTTAGACTGGTAGATGGGTGGAGGGATACAGACCAAATGCAGGCAAGTGGGACTGGTTTAATTGTGTTAAAACTGGGTGACATGGGCAAGTTGGGCCGAAGGGCCTGTTTCCAAGCTGCAGATCTCTATGACTTGTTCCCCCCACCCTACTTTAAGCAGGGAGGGTCAGTGAGGAGGCTTAATTAAATGCTTTCAACACTGTGAAGAACACAGCAGACGGTGGAATTTGAATTCAATAAAATATCTGGAATTAAGAATCTAATGATGACCGTGAATCCATTGTAGATTGTCGGAAAATCCCATCTGGTTCATTAATGTCCTTCAGGGAAGGAAACTGCCATCCTTACCTGGTCTGGCCTACATGTGACTCCAGACCCACAGCAATGTGGTTGACTCTTAACTGCCCTCCGGGCAATTAGGGATGGGCAATAAATGCTGCCTAGCCGTGAATGAATAATGAATAAAAAGATAACCCAATCCAGTGGCAGGAGGGTCAGTAACCAAAGGGACACAGATTTAAAATAATCATCTGCACCGTCAAAGGGGACATGAGTAGGGTGTAGGCATTTACTGCATTTATTGTCCGCCCTGGATGAGGTGGTGGTGAGCTGCTTTCTTGATCTGTTGCAGTCTGCATGCTGTAGGGAGGGAATTCCAGGATTTTGACCCAGCAATTCTGAAGGAAAAGCGATTAAAATTCAGGATGGTGCAAGTCACTGCAGCTCACTGTTTAATGAGCAGTGGGGAAGGCAGCAGGGTGACCAGCCTTCCTGGCTGTCTTTTGCGTGTTGAGCCTAACAATTTGCGGGGGAGCAGGGATGGTTCTGCGAGGGCGGGCGGGGGGGGGGGGAAGAGGTGTCAGCGAGAGATTTAAGGCCTGGGTCAAAATGCCTCTTGTTTGATCTGATCCAGGTGTGCTATGAGCGAGGCTGGGAAGTAACTGTCAATCCGAAAACCTCCGCATCCACAGACAGCAAGTGGTTGGGACTTGCAACTTATGTCTGGTCTGGGTGAGTGAGTGAATGAGTTGTGACTATCACTGGAAGTTGTAAAGACAGCTGCGATGGAAGGAGGTAGGTGAGCAGGGGCCCTAGGCTTCTGTGTTTTTGCAAGAATGGAGTGCGCTAGCATAAAACTGACGTGGCTCAAGTCACTCCTGCAAATCCACCCCACTCTCCTGTGCCGCTTCTCCTGAACAGCTCCCTGCATTCCAAATATGTTCTGCCTTCCAAAAAGCCTCCCTGTGCAGCGCCGAGAGAGCGCCGCGCTGTCGGAGGGTCAGCGCTGGGTGGAATGTTAATGCAAGGCCCCCTGTTGCTGTCTTGGATACAAGATCCCACACAATATGGTTGGAGAATTGGCGAGAATGTTATTTCCTGATGTGCTGCCTGACGCTTATCGCCTATTCGCTTAAACAAAACTCTCAGTGCCCTTTATGGGATCTTGCTGTGTGCAAATGGGCTGCCACGTTTCTACATTTTGGAGCAGTGGAAACGCCTTGATCAGCTGTAAAGCATGGCCGATCCTAGGTGGAAGGGCACTACGTAAGTGCAAGATTTCCTCTTCCTCTGTTTCTTGAGGCAGACTGTAGTATTTTCCCGGAATCTGGACCTGGAGGCTATGGAACTCCAGGATCCTGCAGTCTCCGTCTGAGAGCCGGAAATTATCGTTGACCATTTTGGCCCTGCTTTGTGTTCTCTGTCTGATTTCCGCATGCCAGCCACCAACTTGTTTGTTTTAATCCCTCGAAATCCCAATGATATGACAGGAAAATGAAAGAAATAGAGAGAGGTACGTTTATACGAAACCCGACTGGCAATGCAGAGTTTGGTTTCTAGCTGTCTGTCTTTTAATTTGCTGCTTAGGTATGTTCTGGAATGTCCAAACTGTGGGATTATCTACCGCAGCAGACAGTACTGGATTGGAAACCAAGATCCTGAGGCATCTGTCGTACGTCCTGAGCTAAAACACGTGTGGCTTGGGGTAAGTACACAGCATTGTAGCCCAGTCTCTGGGCTTTAGAGATTAGTGCTCAGGCACGTTCACAAGGAAGAATTAACAAAAAAATTGCATGGAAACAAAGAAGGTAGGGACAGATGGAGGTCATTTTGAGCCTGCTCTGTAATTCAGTCTGATCTTTGAGCTTCAGAAAAGATCCTTGATCTTTTGGGTCCAGACCCGAAACGTCAACCTTCCTGCTCCTCTGATGCTGCTTGGCCTGCTGTGTTCATCCAGCTCTACACCTTGTTATCTCAGATTCTCCAGCATCGGCAGTTCCTACTATCTCTGATCTTTGAGTTCAATGCCCTAATCTTAATCCCCCACCCCACCAAATATTACTTCATCCCTTTAGCAACAAGAGCTATTTCTGAATTTCTGAAGAAGGGTCCCGACCTGAAACGTCAACTTTCCTGCCCCTCTGATGCTGCCTGGCCTGCTGTGTTCATCCAGCTCCACACTGTTATCTCTGACTCCAGCATGGGCAGCTCTTACTGTCTCTAGCAGCTATATCTTTTTTTGAAAACACAATGTTTTGGCCTCAGCCACTTTCTGTGGCAGTGAATTCTACAGGCTCCTCACTCTCTGAAGGTGAAGACATTTCTCCTCATCACAGTCGAACTCTTATCCTTAAACTGTGATCTCTGAACTCTCCCACCATCGGGAACATCTTTTCTGTGCCAGCCTGTCTAGCGTTGTTAGAATTTCCCAGGAGATCCCACCTCGTTCGTCTAAACTCAGTGAATACTATCTGAACTGACTCCACCTCTCCTTGTACATCAGTCTGAGCATCCCTGCAATCAATTTGGTAAACTTTCGCTGCACGCTGTCTCTGTTGGAGCAACATCCTTTCTCTGAAAAAGAGATCAGAACTGTGCGCAATATGCCAGGTGTGGCCTCACCCCTGCAAATTGCAGCAAGACGTTGTTGTATCTCTACTCAAATGCTGTCACCAACATACGGTCTGTTTTCTTTACTGCTCACCGCACCTTCAGCGGTTTCTATGCTGGGTGTTTCGAGGCTGGAACGTGAGGGGGTTGTTCGTTCAAGGCTTTTGATGATAGAAAAATTGGATCGTCCTCTGCACAGGTGGGGTGGAGGGGGGCACTGTTCGTGGGCCCACGGGATTAGGGCAGGGCTGAGGGGATGAGGTGAGTTGCTGTTGTAGAACATCAACAAGGACTAGATGGGCTGAATGGCCTCCCCCTCTGAGGAAGGATGTGCCGGCGATGGAGGGAGTGCAGTGAAGGTTTACCAGACTGATTCCTGGGATGGTGGGATTGACGTATGAGGAGATGCTGGATCAGTCAGGACTGTGTATACTGGAGTTCAGCAGAATGAGGGGCTGCTGTCACAGAAAAGTATAAAGTCCTGATAGAATCAGACAAAGAAGGATGTTCCTGAGGTCCAGGGAGTCCCGAAGTGGGGGGTGGGAGCGGAGGGGCGGGTGTGCGCAGTCTAAGGATTCAGGGTGGGATTGAGATGAGGAGAGCAAGGATCCTTTGGAATTCTCTGTCACAGAAAGCAGTCAAGGCTGAAACATTTTAATGTTTTAATGAAGAAGTTAGATGCAGCTCTTGGGGTTAAAGGGATCAAAGAGTGTGGAGGAGAAAGCAGGAACAGGGGGCTGAGATGGACGATCAGCTGTGATCATATTGAACAGGGGCAGCAGGCTGGAAGGGCCGAATGGCCTACACCTGCTCCTGTTTTCAGTGTTTCCGTGCTGTATCCGTTTCCTGCTCCTAAACCCTGATTCGGGAGGATAATGTGGCCCCTCATACCCCCTTGGAAAACCACCTCCTGCAGTTCTCGCTGCCTCTGGGGGGAGGGTGCTGTCCGTTTTTATTTGGGTTTTAGTAATGATCGATTCTGCCCACGGCCACCATCTGCTGTGTCATGGTGAGGGTGGTTGTGTTCACCTGGCCCGAGACGAACCCACGCAGCCGGTGAGAGAGAGACAGCCAAGCTTGGGCTGTAAACAGCCTGGGGCCATCTGTCAGAGAGTGCTCCCCTCGATGCTCACAGCTTTTGACAGGCTGTAGGTATCAGCAGTGAGTGAATTGACTGAACAAGTGTTTAAGTGTCTGTGAACAACCCGAGGAGACCAGAATGTGACAAACGCTCAGTGAGTTCACTAGAGAGTTGGGTGACAGACCGAATGAGGCATTTACCTAACTATTGAAAATTTACTGCTTTTACACTGGGATCCCAGAATAGAGAGAGATGAGTAAAGATTTACAACAATTGAGCATTCCTCTCTCTCTCTGTGTCTCTCTCTCTCTCTCTCTCTCTCTCTGTGTGTGTGTGTGTCTCTGTCTCTCTCTCTCTCTCTCTCTCTCTCTCTCTCTGTCTCTCTCTCTCTCTGTGTGTGTGTGTGTCTCTCTGTCGCTCTGTCTCTCTCTGGCTCTCTCTCTGTGTGTCTCTGTGTGTCTCTCTGTGTCTCTCGTCTTCTGCTCCACTCCTTTCGGCTTTTGTTATCTGCCCATCCCCCATCCCTCTGAATTCCTGGCATGCCCCCGGATGAGGTCACCCCCTGCAGCTGAAGGAAGTGCTGTCATCCAGGGAATAGGTATCTGTCGTACGGAAGACAGGGACCAGGCAGGAAGGGAGGGAATCCCCCAAGTCCATCTCACTCGCACTCCCTCTTTTTTTTTTCCCCCGGAGATTTACACGGATATTTCCAGGACTGGAGGGTCCAAGCTATAATTGAAAGATTGGATAGACTGGGATGGTTTTTCCTTGGAGCAGGGAAAGTTGAGATGGAACCTGATAGAGGTGTATAAGATTGAAGGGCGTGGATAAGAAGTCACTTTTATCATTAATATCCAGGAGAAGTGGATTTACGGTAGAAGACGAAGAGGAGAGATGAGATTTTGTTTCTTCTTCACCAAGAGAGCAGTGGGTCTGGAACTCGCTGCCTGAAACAATGGATGTGTCAAAAAATCTCTTGTAACGTTTAAGCAGTGCTTAGATATCCACTTGCATTGCTGTAACCTCCAGGGCTCTGGGACCGAGAGCAGGAAAATGGGATTAGCATAGTCAGATCTTTGTCAACAAACATGGATACGATGGGCCAAATGGCCTCCTGTAGCTGTGAACGTGGATGAGGATTGCGTGTTCGGAATAATTAAATGCGGAGATGCTTTTGGAAAAGCCACTGTGTGCTTTCCCTTTTAAGAGGGTTCACCTTTAGAGAGCAGCGGTGATCTGTAAATGACATTTCTGTTGGGTTTGTTCTCTCGCCTGCAGCATCAAGGCTGTGCGTTTGGGTCCAGCTCCAGGGTCATGTGCAGAAAATCCAGGACATGATGGGAGCAGGGGTGGGGAGTGCTGCACTGTCTGAGGTGTTGTTCAGATGAGACATTAAACCCCGGCCCCCCCCACCCTTTGCCTTTGGGTGAATGTAGAAAGGATGACGCGACAGGGTCTAGGAAAGATCAGGGGAGGTCTCCCTGGTCGGTTATTTATCTCCCCCCACCCACCCAGGCTGTTATTTTAAAATCCAGAACGTCACGATCCCGTTGTGGTTTTGGGGTGGCTCGCTCTGCGCAGGTTAGCTGTGCTTCGAACAGAAGCTATTCCTCCAGGCGCTGGGAGTCCGAGGTCACAAGCGACGCTGTGGAAATGCAAACACGTTCCCTGTTTGATAAATCTCAGATGGAGTCGTTCCTGGGGACGAACCATAACGGGGCTCAGCGAGTACTGGACGGCGTCAACTTTGTGATCCAGTCGGTCTCCGAGTACAGTACAGGGCCAAGCAAAGCGATCACCTCTTGGCTGACGGATCAAGTGGCCCCAGATTATTGGAGGCCCAACTCCCAGATCATGGTGAGTCCATCTCTCTTTCTCTCTTTCTCTCTTTTTTTATGGTTTTGAAATAGATCCCCCGTTGTGACTGATCCGGATTCTGGTCTCGATCAGGCAGGAATATAAGACAGAGTGAAGCAAAGAACAGTACAGCACAGGAACAGGCCCTTTGGCCTATCCAAGCCTGTGCCAACACAGTTTGCCCTTCCATACTAAAACTGTCTTCACTTACGGGATCTGTATCCCTCTGTTCCCTTCCTGTTCATGTATTCGTCCAGGTGTTCCTTGAAAACTGCTATTGTGTCTGCTTCCACCACCTCCTCTGGCAGCGCGTTCCAGGCACTCACCACCCTTTGCGTGAAAAACATGCCTTGCACATCTCTTTTAAACTTTCCCCCTCGCACTCTAACCTGTGTCCCCCAGTAATTGACCCCTCCACCCTGGGAAAAACCTCATGCTTTCCACTCTATCCATGCCATTCACAATCTTATAAACTTCTTCAGGTCACTCCCTTCAACCTCCTGCATTGCAGTGAAAACAATCCCAGTCTATCTAACCTTTCTTCATAGCTAAAATCCCCCATACCAGGCAGCATCCTAGTAAACCTTTTCTGTACCCTCTCCAAAGTATCTACATCCTTCTGGTAATGTGGTGACCAGAACTGTACACAATATTCCAAATGTGGCCTAACTAAAGTTCTATAAAGCTACAGCATAACTTGTCTATCCTTATACTCATGCCCCTTCCAATGAAGGCAAGCATGCCATAAGCCTTTTTTACTACATTATCTACCTGCGCTGCCACCTTCATTGATGTGTGGACCCACACACCCAGATCCCTCTGCATATCAATACTCCTAAGGGTTCTGCCATTCACTGTATAATTTCCACCTGTACTTGACCTTTTATGGCTCTAGGCCTTTTTTAATACCTTATCTGCCTAGCAATAGACACGTCTGTCTCATTGGAGCTGGAGGGTTGTGAGTTCAAATCCCACTCCCTGAGGTTTCAGCTCTGAATCCCGGCTGGCATTCCCAGTGCAGCGCTTGAGGGAGTGCTGCGTTGTTGGAGCTGCTGGCTTTCGGATCAGACTTTAAAGCGAGGAACGTGACTGTTGTGGTGGCCGGATGTGAAAGATCCCATTGCCAGCGCCTCAGGGAAGCGGGATGGCGGGGGGGTTCTGCCTGTGTGTTATTTGCACATCATGAAAACAGTTATGTGCGTGTGCGTGTGTCTGCGCGCGTGTGCGTGTGTGTGTGTCTGTCTCTGTGCTTGTGTGTGTGGGTGCGTGTGGGCGCATGCGTGTCTCGGTGTCTCTCCTCAGCCGTTGGGCTGATTGTTGATTCTCTGCAGGAATGCCATCAGTGCAAGAAACGTTTTGAGGACGGGGACCGTAAGCATCACTGTCGGGCATGCGGAGAGGGTTGCTGTGATGCCTGCTCCAGTAAAAGCATGCCAGTCCCAGAGCGGGGCTGGGGGACTGCTGCAGTGAGAGTGTGTGACGATTGCTTCAGAACAGGTGGGAACAGCACAGGTAATCATTGGTGACGCCCTGTTACCCTCTCGCTCAGCACAAACACCTCGCCCGTTCCGTACAATGTTAACAGGATGATTACAGTGCGCATGGGAGGCCACTTGCCCCATTGTGTGTGTGCTGGCCCCTTTGGAAGGAGCCACTCTTCCCCACCCCCCACCCACCCCATGGACAAGTATCCTTGTGCCTTTGTCAATTTTAAGGTCACGATCCAATTCCCTCAAGAAGATGCTCACCACCAAAGCCCAGGATTTGGGTGGGTGGGTGGGGGGTCCATTAGTGCCCGATAACTGGAGCTCTAGGATAGGAGCAGGACTGCTGAGCTTGGGTCAGAGGTCGGGATTTGGGTTAGGACCGGGGACGAAGATTTCAGTCCTTCTCCCTGCTGACTTGATACCTTTCCCAGGGCAGTTAGGGACAGGTAATATAATCTAGCCCAGCCAGGGATTCCTGAACTGGAGTTCTGTGTTTAAGGTGTGCAAGATCTTAACGTCCCCTTCTTGCTCTTGTAACGTATCCCCCTCTTAATAAAACCAGGGATATTGTATGTTTTATTAACTGAGCTCTTGACCTGTCCTAGCACCTTCAATGATTTATGTATATACGTACCAAGAACCTCCTGCTCCTGTACCCTTTGTAGTGTTTACATAGTCTCCCTACTTTCTTCCTCCCAAAAGTGAATCATTTTAGGCAACAGTCACTGTTATCATAGAATCCCGGCAGTGTGGAAACAGGCCCTTCGGTCCACACTGACTCTTAGAGCATCCCACCCAGACCCATCCCCCTAATCTACACTATGGGTAATTTCCCATGGCCAATCCACCCTAACCTGCACATCTTTGGACTGTGGGAGGAAACTGGAGCACCCGGAGGAACCCCACACAGACACAGGGAGAATGTCACCCAAGGGTGGAATCGAACCTGGGTCCCTGGTGCTGTGAGGCAGCAGTGCTAACCACTGAGCCACCATGCCGCCCAATAATGTTGGAAATGAGAGAGCCAGTTTATACACGGCAAGCTCTCCCAAAAATATAATGTGACAGTAAGCAGATCCTCTCACTGTAATGTAGATCCGGGGGGATAAATATTGACCAGGACACTGGGGCGGGGAGAACTCCCCTCGTTTTCAGGCTAACGCTATAAGGCATCTTGTGCATCCCGCAGGGACAAAAGCTTTCGGATCTGTCTCTAATCCGGAAGATGGCACCTCTGACGGTGCAAGCCCTCTCTGTACCAGAACCAGGAGAGTTACTGAATTGTAGACCACTGTGCCATTAGGGAGGGAGTTTATAATTTTGACCCAGTGACAGACGGTGATTGTAATGCTGCAGGTTGTCCTGTGGGGGCACCAAGGGCAGTGTTGCTGCACATGTTCCTTATGGCTTTACTGGGAGGGGGGTGGAGGGCTATGGGTTAGGGAGTGGCTAGTTAGAGAGGGACTGGGAGTAAATTGGGTCCTGGAGGACTTGTCACATGACCCCCTCCCAAACTGCCCAGTCATTGGGCAACCCTCCTCATGACACACTGCCTTCCTAGGCCAATCACAAAACAAGAAGTTATGTGTCGTCCAATCGGATAATGAGTGTTAGTGAAACAGCCTTTTCTTTCGTTCAACATCTTTTTAACATCTGGGAAGGAGAAATGTCAAAAAAAAATAACAATCTGTTTAAATGTCCCGGAGATTTATCTCCAGGGTTGGAGGGTCTTGGAAAATGCCTCCCAATTCCTGGAGAATTTGGGCTCTGTTCTGGGGGATTGGTGATCCCGTTTCCCATCAGCCATGATGGTAATGGTGAAGGGTCACTTTCTCCTTTCTTCCAGTCAGTTTTTTTTGTTTGTTTTTTTTTCCTGAATAAAACTGCTTCTCAGGAAAGGAGCTGGAGTCGGCGAGAGAAGGCACAGGGTTACTGGCGCGCAGGATTACAGAGGCGGCGCAGAGCACTCTAGATACGATGGCTTCGGCAGTCGAATATCCTCTTGGTACGTACGACCGACTGTTGTCTTCGTTGTTTCGTGGGCTGCCGGCGCCCCTGGCAATGTCAGCTTTTGTTACCCATCCCCGATTACCCCTTCAGCTGAGGGCCTCCCCCTGGTCGTTTTCAGAGAGAGCCCCATTGCTGCGGGCCTGGAGTCACGTGTAGGTCCCAGACCACGTAAGGATGGCGGATGTCCGTCCCCAAAGGGACCAGATGAGTTTTGATGATGGTTGTGACGGTTGCCATCGCTGAACGGGGTGGGAGAGAACAAATTGACGTTGTTTTTATCAGTAAAGCAACTGGCGAGTCACCTGTGTCACCAACGAAATTAACAATTAAAATGTGCATCTTTTGCACCTTTTTGTTAAAGGGGAAAGGGTGGGAGTTGAATTAAAAGGGTGTTGGAGGGAGAGAGATTGCATTGCAGCCCTCACAGTGCCCACTATTCTCTCAGTGCCTGGAGGGTGCTGTTGGACTCACAGACACAGCCCTGCCTGTGGATGATGGGCAGATAGACTGCTGTTAGCCCACGCCCCCCGCAACCCCTTCCCTTCCCTTCCCTCCCCTCACGACCCCCCTCACACGAGCGGCTGTGCTGGGCTTCGAACCCATGTCACCAGAGCATTAAGCTGGGCTTTTTGGATCACCTCTGTTTTCCCCCCCACCTCCCCTCAGTGTCCGAGGGGCACAGATATATATCGGAGGGTAATGGGGTGCTGGAGATTTCCCAGATAAGGAGGGGATGACAATGTGAAAAACGAGAATCAAATCCAGCTCCTTGCCCTTTTTAATGGGCTGAAGGGCCTCACCTGTGCCATTTGACTCCTGGCCTAGGCTTCCTGGTGATGCACAGGCAGTGTCTGTGGTAACTGCATTCCCAAGGAGCAGGAGGAGGAGGAGTGAGGCCTGTGTGGGTGAGGTCGTGTGGTATTTTTGTTTTCCTGCAATTTATTTTCCACCCCGGGTTGTTGTTGTTTTCCAGGATTTGTCAAGGAGGTGGCGAGGCCTGACTATTGGGTGCCGGATCACGAGCTGGTCAAGTGTCACCGCTGCGCGAAGCCCTTTTCTGGCACAACGGCCAAGCACCACTGCCGAGCCTGCGGCCTAGGCGTTTGTGGTCAGTGCTCCCCGGAGCTGAGGACTGTGCCATCTCGGGGCTGGCACCACCCGGTCAGGGTCTGCCTGGAGTGTAGCGAGAATAAAGGGGAGCTCTGAAGCCCAGCGCCTCTTTCCCCCAGCCCCTTCACTCCGAGTTTTGGTCAGCCGCGCGAGAGGACCGCCACCTCGAGGGGGCAGGATCAGAGTCGGATTCCAGGGAAGGTTCACCGGGCTTCCTACGTCCTCGCTCGGCTAACCCATGCCTGGTTCCTGCCGGGCTGTTGGGTCAAAGCCACAAGAAACGTTGACTAGGCCCCTCGTGTTGACGCCGGCCTGAAGGGACAAATATGGCCAACAGGCCTGGAGGTCACCAAAATCCTGGAGAGTCTGTCATGTGACTTATTATCACTTCACTCCTCTTCTCCCCCCCCCACCAAATCAGCCATTGGCTGCCCTACGCGTCAATCATCATGATCCCGGTTCACCGCGCCACCCCCAACAACCAATCAGGAAATGAGCAACCTCTTTCTGAAGAAGGGTCTAGGCCTGAAGCGTCAGCCTTCCTGCTCCTCTGATGCTGCTTGGCCTGCTGTGTTCATCCAGCTCTACACCTTGTTATCTCTTTCTCCGCACTGGCTGAAATGGAGCGCTGGCCAAACTGCCTCTGGGTTAATGTGTTGAGATGAATTTAAGTGGAAGTCACTAACGAACATTGAAGATTGTGTGTGTGTGTGAGTGAGAGTGTGATTGATGCCCCTGTGTCCCAGGAGTTAAACTTCAACCCCAGGAGACTGCAGGGCAATCCTGGGGATGGGGGATGTGAGGGGCTCGGAGAAATGCGAGCATCTGAATAAATAGGAGCCACCTGTTCAGCTCTTTGAACCTATTTCGCTGTTCAGTACAGTCACAGCTGGTCTGGCTCGAGCCTCAGCCCTTCAACCCTTAGATTCTTGGGGCTGACTGATTTGTCAATTGAACTTGACCTCAAAAATATTCAGTAATCCCGCTGCTACAGCCTGTTGGAGGAGACAGATAAGGTGCGATGTATTTGCACATGTCGGAAGCTACACCAATAAAAACTCACTCAGGAGCCTGTGTTCTGTGTAGGTGAAAGGAATTTGTACAGACAATTATTTCTTCCTCCAACTGCGCCCCCCCCCCCCAAAAAAAAGGGGTCATGAGACAGCCAATCGCTGCATCCCCAAGGCAACACCTCGACCAATCAGAATTGACCCACCTGGTCTGTGAATGAAGATTGACAGCTAATGGCCCTATAGCACCCCCCCTCCCCTTGACCAATCAGAATCGACCTGTCTGGTCTCTGAATGCAGATTGACAGTCAGCTGCCCCATGGCATCACCCTGACCAGTCAGAATCAAGCTGCCTGGTCTGTGAATGAAGATTGACAGTTAACTGCTCTTGCTGCCTGTCCCAGCCAGCGACGGCCCGACCAATCAGCACCCTCTGCTCATGATGCATGGAAGGCTTGTCCCTCCGTTCAGAAACAAGACCAGAAATCACTGGAAAAGCCCAGCAGGTCTGGCAGCGTCTGTGGAGAGAAATCGGGGTTAACGTTCGGGTTGAGTGACCCTTCCTCAGAATGCCTCTGTTCAAGTCTGTTTCTCTCTTCCTCATCCTGCTGATAGTGAGACAGTCCGCCTCACTGTCTTGTCTCCTTTCAGCAACATTTTAAACATGCCGATTATAAGCTGCAGGCTGGAACTATTCCCCCGATGTTGTTCTGCACCTTCTCTCTGGCCTTCGCATCCTCCCTAAAGGTGGATCTCAGTTTCCGTTTTAAATTGGCTGAAAATGGATGGAGGAGTGAACCTGAGCTCAGTGTTGCAGTGTGCAATGAATAAGTGGAGCCCAAAGGCAGCAGATGCATGAAACACCATCATCTCCCAGCGCTCACCACCCTGACTTGGAAATATATCACCGTTCCTTCCTTGTCACTGGGTCAAAATCCTGGAACTCCCTCCCTAAGGACACTGTGGGTCAACCTACAGCCCATGGACTTCAGTGGTTCAAGGAGGCAGCTCACCCCCACCTTCTCAAAGGGGCAATTAGGGATGGGCAATAAATGCTGGGCCCAGCCAGCAATGCCCACATCCCATGAACTAATTTCAAAGCTTCTAAGAACTTTTTTTATTTGTGTGTTTCAAAACATTCCACAGTGCGCTTTCTTTTTGAAGAGGTTAGCACAGTCTTCAATACTTTGTAAAGGGATTTTCCCCAGTCTCTACTTCTCGGACCTTTTTACTGAGCACCAGACTCCCTTGTTTTTTCCCCGCATTCGGGGCCTGGGACCGACTGAGTTCGTTGGAGGGGAAGCTTAAATCGATTTGGTTCAGTCATTTTTGTCAGTGTGAGCATTTGAGGATAGGCGTGGGTTAAGCCCTCATAGTGGCTCACTCGTTCTCACAGATTAATAAACTTAGCATTCCTGCTTTTAATGCTCCGTTTCCTCACACTGCTCGAACAACTGCGTAGAAATCGTGATGCACTCAGTGGCCACATAGCCTTGTGATTCTCAATGGAGCCCAGGTGTCCCGTGGTCTGTGATGGGAGAGGGGTTATGCCTTCAGAGGGAATAGGAGACCACTTTACAGGTTGTAACTTAATGAGTTAGTGAGTGGACGGTCAGAGGGGTTTTAATTTATTTCTAAGCTACAACAAAAGTCTCCAGTGACCCTTACACTGCCTAATAAAATGCAGTTAGTGAGCATAACTGTGAACATATTGTGTTCCTATTAACCACAGCCAATGACAGCAGTGTGTGGTCTCCAGGAATCATTGACATAAAGATTATCCAGTATCTCCGTTTCTCTGTATTGATTTAAAAGCACCTGAGGAGTGACTGTGTGATGGTGCAGTCTGTGTGTGGGGTTTGTGACACGTCAGAGATTAGTTGTCAATCTTTTTTTTGAGCCCTGAAGTCTGAATCAAACTGAAAGAAATTGCACCTCCCTCATTAAAAGGTGAGACTTTTGAGTTGGTGTTTGTTTCTGTTTTAAACACTCCACTCCCCCCCCGCTTCACACACAGACAGGACAGCTCGCACAACATCAGAGACGGAGCTTGTACAAAGAGCAGACCACTGGGGTAGGGCTAGTAGGGAGCTAGCAGAAGTATGTTGGACTGAGTGGCCTCGTTCTGTACTGTACCGTTCTGTGAACAGTTTGCATCGCTGCTGAGCCAAGTGCCATTCAGCAGGTTGGGCCAGTTCCATGTTTATTTAGTCCATCACAAAAGTTTCGGGGTTGGGGGGGGGGCTGGGGGGGGGGGGGGGGGGGGGTGAGATTAAATGCAGAGCTTCTGATTGGCCAAAGTGATCATTTGAGCAATCGGGTTAAACTTGTACCTTTTTGCTAACAAGGTGTGAGTGTGAGTGCCCGGGGAGCGGGCAAACAAGGAGCAAGGGCAGGCCACTCGGCCCTTTGAAGCTGCTGCATCGGTTAATAAGATCGTGGATGAGCTGATTTTAACCTCAACGCTGCATTCCTGCATCTCGGGGTGGCTCAGTGGTTAGCACTGCTGCCTCACGGCACCAGGGACCCGGGTTCAATTCCACCCTCGGGCGACTGTGTGTTGTGTGGAGTTTGCACATTCTCCCTGTGTCTGCGTGGGTTTCCTCCCACAATCCGAAGATGTGCAGGTTAGGATGGATTGGCCATGGGACATTGTCCAATAGTGTCCAGGGATGTGTAGATCCCTGTAAAGGGGAGGTGCTGGCCTAGTGGTATTATCGCTGGACTGTTAATCCAGAGACCCCGATAATGTTCTGGGGACCCGGGTTCAAATCCCATCAGGGCAGATGGTGGAATTTGAATTCAATAAGTATCTGGAATTAAGATTTTAATGATGACCATGAATCCATTGTTGATTGTCAGAGAAACCCATCTGGTTCACTAATGCCCCTTTAGGGAAGGAAACTGCCATCGTTCCCTGGTCTGGCCTACATGTGACTCCAAACCCACAGCAATGTGGTCATCTCTTAACTGCCCTCTGGGCAATTAGGAATGGGCAATAAATGCTGCCTAGTCAGCGACACCCTCATTTCGTGAATGAATAAAGAAAAAAGAAAATGGGTTACAGGGAAAGGATATTGGGTCAGTGTGGAGGTGTTTGGCTTGAAGGGGCCTACTTCCACACTGTGGGGATTCTGAGGATTCAGGCCCTGACATAGAGCAGGGGGACACAGATTAAGGATCAGAAGTCTCTGGTTAAACCAGCTCTGTGGGTTGTCAGTCTCCCTTAGAGAGTAGTACAAGTTAGGTTGTTGAATTAATTCAAGGCTGAAATCTATAGGCCTTTGACAAAGGGGTCAGGGGAGGAGGGGGTCCGGACAGGAAAATAGAGCGGAGACCACAACCCAATCAGCTGTGATCTAACTGCATGGTGGAACAGCACCCAGGAGGGCCAAATTGGCCTAATCCTGCTAACAATTCCTCCGCAGCTGGAGAAAATCAGTTCAGGTTCTTGCTCCTGAGCTCCCAGGCATCTCTGGAAGCACAGTGGGGCGGGAGAAAATGGGTCGGTTTTTAGCGTGAGGCATTCTGTTGCCGAGGTGCCCAAACGCACCTCACTTTTTTGCATGGGAAAATCACAGGCCAGCCTCCCAGGACTCCTCTTGCCTGACCCAAGAGAGGCTGATTAAACTCTGGGGAGTCTCCCCAGAGTGGGAGAGGGGTGATCCAGCACCTTCAAGAGGGGCATTGGCTAATGTTAAACTACCAGGCCAGTCGCGAATAGGAGGCAACTTGTCCAGTGTATTCAGTAAAAACACCATCAAGTATTCTCTCATGTAGCCCACAACCAGCTGGAAAGGCTAAAATATTCAAATAATTCCTGTTGTTTCTGTGCAAAACTCTATCAATCTTGAGCTAACAGATTGTATACACCTCTTAGAGGTCATCTGATGCCTGTGAAATGCACTTAGTGAGGATATAGGGTCTGGGAGGGAGGAATGGGAGACACATTGGGACTAATTTACCTTTTGAGACCAGTTTGCAAAGGGTTAACAGGAGAAAAGCAGGCCATTCAGCCTTCTTGGGTGGATAGCAGAGATTGGTCACTAGTTTGGAGAAGGGCAGGTGAGTTTCGCCCTGGTGTCCCAGCCAATGCTTATCCATTGACCATTATCACAACAACAACAAAAGATTATCTGGCCATGATCACACTGCTGTTTGTGGGAGCTTGCTGTGCTCGACTTGAAAGCAACTGAGTTCGATCGGGAGACGTCCGTCCTGCTTATCCATTGCCCAAGGCTATTGTTTTGGAAGTGCACCATCTGGTGTTGAAAACAATTACTGCAATCTGGCTGCAGGCCCATCAGCAGGAGACTGTGAAATAATTGCATTTGTATAGCGCTCCTCACCATCTCTGGCACCTCCCCAATGTGCTTTACAGCAAAATAAGTTATTTTGTTTGAAGTGTAGTCTCTGTTAGAATGTAGGAAACACTGCAGCCAATTTGTGCACAGGCAGATCCTACTTAGAGCAACATGAAAAGGACTGGATAATGTTTATTTTTGGCCATGTTGCTAGAGAAATAAATATTGGGCCATGGGACTGAAGATAACTCCTGTACTTTTCTTTGAAATAACACCATGGCAACTCTAATGTTTACCTAAGAGAGCAGACGACAAATCTTGATATAGTATTAATGCGTATTAAAACATTGCAAACCATTTTTATGCTGAGCTATGTAAAAAGATATTTCATAAAATAACCAGCAGCATCTCTGTGTTGAGGTTGATTTTAAGGAACATCGATACAGGAGGTGGCCATTCACCCCCTCACCATTGAATGAGATCCTGGCTGATCTGTGCTTGACCCCATATACCTGCCTTTGGCCCATATTCATTAATACCTTTGATAATCAAAAAGATTATTTAACTCTGTTTTAAAACTAACAACTGATCCAGCATCCTTTGCTGTTTGTGGAAGAGAGTTCCAAACCTCTTCCATCCTTTTTTTGTGTTAAACTGCTTCCTAACGTCTTTCCTGAATGGTCCGGCCCAAATTTTTAAACTAAGTGCCCTGGTTCCCGAAGGAGCATCTTAAAGAAATGAAGAGAGACAGAGGGGTTTAGGGAGGGAATTCCAGAGTTTGGGGCCCAGGCGGATGAAGGTGTGGCTGTCATTGGGGCTGTGATTCAAGCCGGGGAATTTTCAAGAGGCTGAATTGGAAGAGTGCAGAGATTTCTGAGGGTTTAGGGGCTGGCTGGCTCATCGAAAGAGAGTGTGAAGACATGTGAGAAATTAATGAAGTCTGAGAATCAAGATACAAATAGAAAGTGCTGAAGAAGCTCAACAGCATCTCGAATCATAGAATCCCTACAGTGTGGAAACAGGCCCTTCGGCCCAACAAGTCCACACTGACCCTCCGAGCATCCCCCTACAGCCCACCTAATCTACACATCCCTGAACACTTTGGGTAATTTCCCATGGCCAATCCACCCTAACCTGCACATCTTTGGACTGTGGGAGGAAACCGGAGCGCCCGGAGGAAACCCACACAGACACAGGGAGAATGTGCAAACTCCACACAGATAGTCCCCCGAGGGTGGAATCGAACCTGGGTCCCTGGTGCTGTGAGGCAGTGGTGCTAACCACTGAGCCACCGAGCTGTGGAGAGCAAATCAGAGTCAACCTTTCGAATTTGATCTGATTCTTTGGAGCTGAACTGTTTGTTCAGCCATTGCAGAGGGCAGTTAAGAGTAAACATATCACAGTGGGTCTGGAGTCACGTGTAGGCCAGGCCAGGAAAGGACAATGGATTGCCCTTCTGGGATGATCTGCTAGGTTAGAGGGACGATGGGATGACAAATACTGGCTTTTTCAGCAATGCCCTACAAAAAAAAACCAAAGGGAAAAAGAAGAGATAACAAAGTGTAGAGCTGGATGAACACAGCAGGCCAAGCAGCATCAGAGGAGCAGGAAAGCTAATGTTTCGAGTCGGGACCCTTCTTCAGAAATGGGGGAGGAGAAGGGGATTCTGAAATAAATAGAGAGAGGGGGAGGTGATGATGGAAGGTGAATAGAGGAGCAGATAGGTGGAGAGAAGACGGACAGGTCAAGGAGGCGGGGATGGAGCCAGTAAAGGTGAGTGTAGGTGGGGAGTTCAAAACCCCCTTCCCCTCCCCCTTTTCTGATGAAGGGTCTAGGCCCGAAACGTCAGCCTCTCTGCTCCTATGATGCTGCTTGGCCTGCTGTGTTCATCCAGCCCTGCACCTTGTTGGGATGGGGGTTGGTCAGTGAAGAGGGAGGGGCGGGTAGGTGGGAGGGAAGATGGACAAGTAAAGGGGGAGTGGGATGAGGCTTGTAGGTAGGAAGTGGGGGTGGGGATTGGTCAGTGAGGTGGGAGGAGGGGATAGGTGGGAGGAAGGACAGGTTAGGGAGGCAGGGACGAGCTGGACTGGTTTTGGGATGCGGTAGGGGGAGGGGAGATTTTGAAACTTGTGAAATCCACATTGATACCATTGGGCTGCAGGGTTCCCAAGCGGAATATGAGTTGCTGTTCCTGCAACCTTCGGGTGGCATCGTTGTGGCACTGCAGGAGGCCCAGGATGGACATGTCGTCCAGGGAGTGGGAGGGGGAGTTGAAATGGTTCGCGACCAGGAGGTGTTGTTGTTTGTCGCAAAGAATTGGCTTTAGTAGATGAAGTCAGAATGACTGTCTACGACCATACTTGTCTGAGCGTGGCATCAAGGAGCTGGAACCAAACTGGGCGCATGGCAGTGGGGCTGCCTTTTAACTGCCCCCTGGATGATCGGGGGTGGCCAGCGATGCCCAGCGTCCTGGGAATAAATGGTAAAAACGTCATTGACAAGATCAACTGAGCCAGATATTGGTGTTGTCTGAGTGCACTGTGATGGTCAGATTGCAATGAGACCAGTCAAGAGGCAAAAGGAATGAATGGGGTCAGCTCAGGTGGCTCTCACACCAATTACTAAAGCAGAGGATTTGTCCTTCATTCCACATTCT